GCACCAGGACCAGTAACGATGTAACCTTCCAACCAACCAATATCTATGCTCTCTCTTACTATCAACGCCCTAGAAACATTGGGAAGGAACCCGTAGGTTACTCTACCCTTCTGCGAGGTATCCCATCTGTCTTGCCATCTAACAAGGAGTTCTTGGTTACATCGGTTTATAAGGGCTTCATTTGAGCTGCCGTCTCGACTCACAAAGTCCCATTCATCTAGGTCCAGTCCTTTTTTAATTTTATAAACCGATCTTCTTCTTAGACATTCTAAATCCCATGGCGGCGATCCTGCTAGCACTTGCATTGCCTCAGTGGGAACCGTCCTGCATACCCGAAGGCATGCAGAGAGCACGGCTTGCTGGCACCTTACAATTTCCTCACACAGCGTGGAATACCTCAGAGCATCCCCCCAAGCACCTGCTCCATATAGAGCAGTCGCCTCAAAGATGCCCTTTTCCAGGTGTTGCAGACGCAAACCTTGACTCCCCACTCTTTTTTTCAGGACCCTTTTGAGGCCACCCAACCTGGATATAACTTTTTCCCTGAGTGCGTTAACATGGCACGCGTAGTTGAAGCGCACGCTGATGGTGCAGCCCAGTATCTTGGCTTCATTCACATAGGAGATTTTCCTAGTATCGTTGCCTCTTACCACCTTGACTCTTCTACCACTCGTATCTAATTTACCCCTTAGGAGTATTATTTGGGTCTTTTCCTCGGAGACACTCACACCATACTTGTCACACCAGTCATAGATGAGCCCGAACGCTCGCTCCACACTGGCCTCTAGTTGAGCTCTCGACTCACCCTCTGCCAAACACGTTGTATCATCAGCGTAGGCAACAACTGGAACTCCCGCTCGTTCAAGCTGCCATAGGAGCTCGTCCAAGGCAAGATTCCAGACAGTTGGCCCCCCAATCGAGCCCTGCGGGCACCCTCTCTCCAAGCCTCGTCTGGCGATTTGATCGCCCCTCCTGTTCATAAGGAAGACAGATCGGTCAGCAAAGTAGCTGCTCCAAAGACCCATCTCCTCACTGCCAAGACCGACCATATCAAGCCTATCCAGTATGCTGTGCCAGCTCAAGAAGTCGAAGGCTCCCTTGAAGTCAACAAGGACCCCAGCGACCAACTTTGACGAGCTATGATCCACCAAGTTCCGGAGCCTACAGAGAAGATCCTCTGTGCTGCGTCCTTGTCTAAAGCCGTACTGTGCATCGCACCACTCATTATCCATCATGATGTTCAATCGCCTCACAAGCATACACTCTAACACCTTTGCCATGGTATTCAAAAGACTGATTGGCCTGTAGGACCTTGCCTTTGAGGGATCCTTATTGCCCCCCTTGAACAACACCACTATACGTGCCATTTTCCATCTGGACGGAAACACTCCAGTCCTCAAGCTGTAGTCCATAAGCTCCTTGAAGTAATGTGGCAGGGTCTTCCAAATCTCCTTAATGAGCTCACTCGGGAATCTATCGGGGCCCGGAGCCTTACCCGACTTCAGGGACCCAACCGCTCGATTGACCTCGGACCACAACCACACGGGATCATAATCCGCATGGCTGAAGCGCACTGTTGCTCCCACTGGGCGGTCCTCCGGAAAGAATTCCTCCAGCAAGAACGTCGCGCTGTCCAGCCAGTTTGATGCCTGCTTATCTGCCTGCCGAATGCGAGCTATATCTGCTGAGCCCTTTTTGCCACTGCATATACTGTACACCATACTCCAGGGCTCTCCGGCATTTGTGCCAATCAAGAGTCTTTGCCTTAGAGAGCTCAGCCTTGTATGCTTTTGCGCATCTTTTAAAACTTGCCAGCTTATCTGGCAAGTCCGGGACTGCCAGTTTCCTCGCTTTTTGATATGCTCTTCTGCTTTGGCCAGCGGACTTCTTGAGTCTCTGCAGCTTTGGACTCCACCATTTTATGCTCGTGCCTCTTTTCCTACGCAGTTCAAGGAACTCTCGGCATCCCTCATTAATCCAGCCCTCCATGGCCTCAACCTTCTCATCAGCAGTCAGGGACCAGAAAGCTCCAAATCCCAGCCACTCGGCCTTAAAGCCCACATAGGATGCAACACTCTTCATACGGCTCGCTTTCATGACGAAAGCAGAGCTGCATTCCATGGCCTTCTTAACACTTGGTCCTTGGAGGGTAGCGCTAACGAAAATAGGATTATGGTCCGACAGACCACAATCGTCCCTCACCTCCCAATGCCAGACCGCTGAGCCCCAACCTCTAACCATGGTCAGGTCTATATCACTCTTCCCCCGAGGGCCAGAGAATGTGAAGACCCGAGAAGGCTGGTTCAAAATTTCCAGATCCCTTATGAGAATGAACTCCTCGAGCACAGCTCTTCTCTTCCCGGCCACACCTCTAAAGTGCCCGCGGGAACTCTTCGAAAACCACATTCGGGAACATGCATTAGCATCCGTTGCTATAATCAGATTACTGTCACTTGTGCTATCCAGGACACCGTCCAAATACTCAACATCTACCTCGATCTCTCTACCAAACTGACGATACAGTGACACCACGTAGAATGATCCCCATTCACAGCCAATCCAGACGCAAACTCCGTTCTCAGAGGTCAAATGCTAAATTATCATGCAGTCAATTTTATCGTTGGCTACAATCACTGCCGCTTTTCCACTTATGCTACTAAATTTTCTCAGTGAACTAGGAAGACCCACGGGAACAGAGCCGTACGGCCAGGGCTCCTGAAGGAGAGCAAAGTCTACACCCCGCTCAACAATCATCGCCCCCAGATCGTGCATCACACTGGCAGAACGCTGACAATTCAATTGCAGAAATTTCAGTTCACAGCTCGCCATAATCTGTGTTATCAATTAGTCTTTTTAGTGCTAGGGCGTATAGTGGACATTTATTGTCTGTCCTGTGCTCATGGGGCGTGCCCGCACGCCTGCATGGCGCACAGATATTCAGCTCATTCGGTTGCTGGCACTCCTTATACGAGTGACCATCTTCCCCACATTTACCGCAAGTGTTCACCTGCGACTTGCAGAACTTTGCAATGTGATCAAACTCCTGGCACTTAAAACACCTGCTGATGGACGTGAGGTCGCGTACCTTGCACCTGTTCCAGTCTATGTAGAGCCTTTTGGTTCTGTCGACTGCATTTCTGAACTGCGGCGAGACCTCACACACCCAGTTGACAAAATCTCCCTCTGGTTCCTTTTTACCTATCTTAAACTTAGGCTCAAAGTCGCATTCTGCCGATGAGACCTCATCATTTTGCTGCTTGATTACCTGGACCAGCTGCTGCGGAGTGTGCTTGGCAGAGACATCGTATATTACCATCCGCGGGAGGCGACCTGCTTGCCTCTGCATCAGGATTCCCTTTTTCCTGAGTTCCTCGTTACTCATGAGCTTATCGAGGTCAACCTGGGTCTTGGTTTCCACAAAAATGGATCCCGAGTTCCCTTTTCGGATAGCACTGACGTGTATTTTCTCTGCTACAGGATCTATGGAGCTCTGGAGCACGCCCTACTGAAAGGATCCATATGAAATCCACGTGAATTTCACATGAACGATTTACGTGAAATGTACGTGAAATATACAAGGATTTTTCATGAAATGTATGTAAAATTCACATGAAGATTGTCCAATTTCGTTACGTGAATTTTATATAGATTTCATGAAGAGTTCATATAAAATTCATGTGAATTTCACGTCTATCGAAAGCTAAATATCTCGTGGGGAATTGAATAAAAAATTTTTTGCGTGAAATTGACGTAAAATGTGAGCAAAATTTATATGAAATGAATGTGAAATTTACGTAAAGTATATATAAATTGTATATGAAATATACGTGTATTTTACGTATATTACATGTAAAATAAGTGTAAGATTTTACAAGAAGAATTCAGTGACCATTATTTTTTCGAGAAATTTATGTGAAATTTTTTTAAAATTCACGCAAAATTTATATGTGATAGGCATCCATATTTCATGAAATGCACGCAAATTTTATTTATATTTTATATAAATTCCATGTAAAACTATTTTTTTAATGTAGATCAAAATTTGGTGAAAAAATTTTTACATAAAAATATCATGAAATTAGCGCAAAATTTATATGAAATGCACATGCAATTGACGTCAAGTATGCATATATTTCATATAAAATATATATGGATTTTACAAAAATTTTGTATACAAGTACCGAACAATTTTTCGAGAAAAATCCGTTGAAAAGTTTTTTACGTAAAATGTACGTAAAAATAGTGTGAAATTTATATCTAAAATTCAACAATTCATCTTCAGAATATTTTAATTCGCGTTACATTTATGGAGGATACTGCATAGGAACTCATAAAATAAAATGTTGATAATAAAACAATGATCGATTATTAATCTTTATTCAAAAACAAACAAGAACATTTGAATTGGTCAATATTATTATTAAACTTTGCCAACTTTTCAAACTTACGACAAACGAAGTAAGTAAACAATCCAATACCATTTGGTCTTTTAACTTTTTTTAATCTATAAAATAACTCATTGATACAAATTCTGTTATACTCCCTTATCAATCATCAAGTTTTTATTCAAACTTCTGAAAATGTTTAGTATACCTTGATACAGAATGCAATAATAAATTCAAATTTTATCAAATTTATATTTACAACAAAATTGTATCAATTGGGTTATTTTTTATCACATTGGTTTATGATTCGGTTTGTATTTTCAAACCCTTAATTAAGTTTACATCTCAATACTGTTTGATTTTATAGATAGTAATCTTTATCACAAGATTGTGTTGCTTAAGTTTCTTAACTTTTAATCTATAAAATAGCATTTCAAACTTTCAATGCAAAAATCAAGTTAACTATCTAATAGTCTTTGTTTTCATAAATATTTATCTTTGTCACAACTTTGTATTACTTAAGCTATATTGTAATTTACTAATAAATGATTATGCTTGTATTTTCAAACTATCAAAACAAAATGAATTTAACAATCTAATATAATTTGTTATTTTTTAGAGTTCATAAAGATTGATGTCTTCTTCAATGCAGATGGGATCTTCTGGCTCCTCATTAATCCCATTTTTATATTGTTGATTTTGAAAGTTGGTTTCTTCTGATATTGCTGCATTAACATCTTTAAGACAACTTAATACATCCTGATGTTTTTTGACTAAAGATGTTTTATATCTTGTTAAATATAATTTAAGGGATTCTGTAATCATATAAAAACATATTGTATCAAGATTAGATAAGATTAGAATGATGAAGCAGTTAATAATATTATAGTTCAATTTTCTTACCCCTGAGTACCCATAACTTCTTAGGAGTCACTATTTTTCGAGGTGATGCACGCGCCGTGCATTTTTGTAATTTTCCAGTATCCCGCATGCATCTGTTAGCAATTTGGTCTGTGCGGTATATATTTCGGAGAAGATTTTTTACAAAGCCCTTTCTTGTATTCGAAATAATTTTGATATGTTCCCACTTTTCCAACGATATTGACACTCCCTTTCCAAGATGTATCATTTCAACATTCATATCCTACAAGAAAATTAAAAATGTAAAATATAAAGAATTATAAAGGATTAATGATCATACATTGAAACGAACCTACCTTATTATCGCGTCTCATATTAGCTGTCCATATAACGTACATATCTCTTCTTACTGACTGACCAATTGGATTCAATACGAGTCTTTGCCTGGGGCGTGATGTTCGTGGCGTAGTAGGCAGTATTGGCAAATTTTCATTGTTGCCATTGCCTTTTACAGGAGAAAGTAAAAAAAAGTGTTTGTCACTACTACATTGTAAAAGTAGTCTTTGCAAATGATTTCATAATAAAGGGTAAGAAATAACAATCATACCTTGAACATAATCATAATTCTTGTGGGAAACTTCATTGTGTTTGATTTCATTCAATACGTCATAATCATCAGAACAACTTTAATCACTTAAATCTGCAGTTTCAGATTCAATTGCTGAGTCTACAAGAAGATCCATTAAATTACTGTGCTTTATAGCTGTTTTTTGTTTAGAGGCATTATTAAACTGTAAAATTAAACCAGTGTTTACTGGTTTCTCAACAATTTTCTTTTGGGGAAGTGGAGAAGTATTGTTGTCGCTTTCTTCTGAACTTGGTTCGAAATCTTCAATATTCTTTTGATTAGTATTTTTTGTAGATTGTAAAACTACTTTCTCACTTTCATTAGAACTCTGTTGAATTACTGTACTATTATTTATATTAGTATTTTTTGGATATTGTAAAAATAATTTTTTACTTCCAGTAGAACTCGGTTGAATTACTGTACTATTCTTTTTTTTAGTAGTTTTGGTCTTTTTAGAAGGAAGTTCTTCTTCGCACTTATTGGCGTTGGAAGACTTTGTATTTTTTCCTTGACTATCGATTGTGTCAAAGCTATGCTGTTGACTTGGACTAATTATTGGCGTAGAATTCTTTGGTTTTTCCATTAGTATAGCATCATTTCCTTTTTTGTTCTTGTTTTTATTCCCAGTAGCTGCTTTTCCTTTTCCTCGATTAATCTTCTTATTACCATTTTTAGATTTAGATTGTGTAGTTGATTGATCCATTGATTGATCGCTTATATCAATTTCAGCGTCAGAGATTGTTTTGTTGTAATCACTTGAAGAGAATCTCACCATTCTTCTTCTTTTGGGAATTTCATTTGTATTATTGTCATCAAATTTAAGTCCTTCTTCTTCAGCTGTAACAAAAACCACAATATTTCAAAACTTATTTGAAAATCAAAACCAATGTTAACAAAAATATATTTCACAGATCAAAAACTAACCAAAAACTAACCAAAAAACATAAATGAAAGTAACATAAAACAAATTTTGTATAATTGATATACTTATTGATATACTTACATCCAAACTTGTAAATGCAAGCTTTCATCCACTTTTTCTCTTTAACGTTTTTCACAATATACATTTCCTTATCGAAAATAATGTCATCTTTTTTGCACTTTTCAGTCTCTAAATCTCTGATGTATCGTGCAGGAACGATAGTGTTTTTATTCAATGGATTATTTTTCAAAAATCTCACTAATGCGTAATCTGCCATTTTATGGCAATTAATACTAATGAAAAATTTGAAAACAAAAGCAAAATCAAGTACACTGTCCAATGTAAAGATAGCAATGAGAAGTTAAGTTCGCACTACGACGAATGCCGCGCAATAATGGCAACGAACGCCAAGTCGCTGTGGAGTGTCGGTTAGAAGTTCAAATAGCAACGGCTTTGTTCACAAAGAAAGAAATAATAGCAACCGTCATCGAAATTGGCGGCAAGTAAGCATGAAGAATTGCGTCATTGTACCGGCTGTGCGTGACCAGTTGCTGCGTATTTTCAGTTTTCACGAGTACGTACGCCTCAATTAAGTTTGTCGAAATAGAAAAATATTATAATGTGTATAAATCGTTGTAAATGTCGCCAAAATATTAAAGTTGTGCCTTATTTACTATAAAAACTGAAATTTTATAAACATAATACATAAATAATTTTATATATTACTTATGATCATAAAAGTATTAAAAAGTATTATATATTAGACTATTTATTATCAAGTGTACAAAATTATATTGAAAGTGCAGTGTATTTTTACATAAAGTGAGTGCCCAATTTTTTGCAATTCCATCTTAAATTGCTCAACATATTTTTCGATTGTAAAGTGTAATAATAATA